AGAGAGAGATATATAGATATATAGTCACGGGATATGGAGTATAGTGTGGGAGTGGAGTCAATGGAATTGTAATAGATATGTATGATTTGGGGGGAGAAGGGTGGCGGATTGTGGGGGAGTTGTCAGTTTGAGGGGTAAAAAATATAACTATTGCACTGTGTTGTACACCTGAAACTAATAAAAAAATACTTTATTGCTAAAAAAAAAATGCCTTTAGCGAGTTGTAATCTTTTTGCTGGTCCCGCCTTGATGTTGTTGGCTGCTGACTTATTGGGGTGGTGGGTGCTGAAGGTTGGGGTGACCGTGGCAACTTTTAACATAAGACAGCAATGAAGTTTGCTACACTGATTGACTCTTCCTTTCACAAACAAATTTTTCTGTAGCAGATGATGCTGTTTGATAGCATTTTACCCACATTCGAACTTCTTCCAAAATTGGAGTCCATGCCCTCAAACCTTGCCACTGCTTTATTAATTAAGTGTATGCAATATTTTAAATCTTTTGTTGTCATTTCAACACTCTTCACAGCATCCTCACCAGGACTAGATTCCATCTCCAGAAAGCACTCTCTTTGCTCACCCATAAGAAGCAGCTCATCTGTTCACGTGTTGTCATGAGATTGAAGCAATTCAGTCCCATCTTCAGACTCCAATTCTAATTCTAGTTCTCTTGCTATTTCTGCCACATTTGCAGTTCCCTCCTCCACTGAAGTTGGAACCCGTCAAGGTCACCCATGAGGGTTGAAGCAACTTCTTCCAAACTCCTGTTAATGTTGATATTTTGACCTCTTCCCATGAATCATGAATATTCTTAACGGTATCTAGAATGGTGAACTCTTTCCAGAAGGTTTTCAATTTACTTTGCCCAGATCCATCAGAGGAATCACTATCTGTGGCAGCTATAGTTTTATGAAATGCACTTCTTAAATAATAAGACTTGCAAACCAGAATTACTCTTTGATCCATGGTCTGCAGAATGCATGTTAGCAGGCATGAAAGCAACATTAATCTCATTTTATATCTCCATCAGAGCTCTTGGGTGACCAGGTGCATTTGTTAATGAGCAGTAATATTTTGAAAGGAATCTTTTTTTTTGAGCAGTGACTATCAACAGTGGGCTTAAAATATACAGTAAACCATATTGCAAACATATGTGCTGTTATGCAGACTTTGTTGTTCCATTTACAGAGTACAGGCAGAGTAGATTTAGCATAATTCTTAAGGGCCCTAGGATTTTCGGGATGGTAAATGAGCATTGGCTTCAACTTAAAGTCACCAGCTGCATGAGCCCCTAACAACAGAGTCAGCCTGTCCTTTGAAACTTTGAAGCCAGGCATTGACTGCTCCTTTCTAACTATGAAAGTCCTAAATGGCATCTTCTTCCAATGTGAGGCTGTTTCATCAGCACTGAATATCTGTTGTCTAGTGTAGCATGTTGTTGTCTTAGTTGACCTCCTGGATAACTTGCTGCAGCTTCTCCATCAGCACTTGCTGCTAACCTTGCACTTTATGTTATGAAGATGGATTCTTTCATTCAACCTCATGAACCAACTTCGGCCAGCTTCACACTTTCCTTCTGCAGCCTCCTCACCTCTCTCAGCATCCACAGAATTGAAGAGTTAGGGCCTTGCTCTGGATGAGGCTTTGGCTTAAGGGAATGTTGTGGCTGCTTTGAGCTTCTATCCAGACCACTAAAACGTTCTATCAGTGATAAGGCTGTTTGGGTTTCTTACCATTCATGTGTTCACTGGAGTAGCACTTTTAATTTCCTTCAAGAACTTTCCCTTTGCATTTGGACTTTGGCTAACTGTTTGGAGCAAGAGGTCTAGCTTTTGGCCTAGCTCAGCTTTTAATATGCCTTCCTCACTAAGCTTAATCATTTCTAGCTTTTGATTGAAAGTAAGAGACACACGACTCTTCCTTTCACTTGCACACTTAGAGGCCATTGTACGGTTACTAATTTCAATATTGTTGTGTTTCAGGGAACAGGGAGACCTGAGGAGAGCGAGAGAGATTGGGGAGTGGCTGGTAGATGGAGCAGTCAAAAGATGCATAACATTTACCCATTAAGTTCACTCTTATATGGGCGTGGTTCATGGTGCCCCCCAAACAATTACAGTAGTAACATCAAAGATCACTGATCATGTGACAAATATAATAATAATGAAGAAGTTGGAAGTATTACAAGAATTACCCAAATGTGACACAGAAACACAAAGCCAGCAAATGCTGTTGGAAGAACGGTGCCAATGGACTTACTCGACACAGGGTTGCCACAAACCTTCAATTTGTAAAAAAATGCAGCATCTGAGGAGTGTAATAAAGCAGAGCGAAATAAAATAACGTATGCCTGTACTGTACCTGTTTTCTATGTGAATGGAAAGGTAGCTGGTGGAAGAGGTTTGCTGGGCATTTGGAGTGAGGCTTCAGACCTGGGCACCCCTGAGGATTGGACCACTTGACCCACTGTAGGTGATATGACTGGGCTTCTGAGCAATGAAGGACCTATGTGTAGGAAAAGGCAGATGAAAAATATGAATGCTTCGTTGGAGAATGTTTGAATAAAAAATAAATAGATGTCTTTATACACACACGCGCGCACACACACACACACACACTCACATATACGTATATATGAATATTGCTTTAGGTAGTAAGGACATTTGAACAATATCAATCCTTCCAATCCATGAGCATGGTAGACCCTTCCATTTACTTGTATCCTCTTCGGTTTTTTTTTTTTTCAGTGTCTTCTAGTGTTCAGCAGGTCTTTTTCACTTCTTTGGTTAAATTTATTCCTAGGTATTTTATGGATTTTGATGCAATGGTAAATGGGGTTGTTAATTTCTCCCGATCATTCATGATTGGCATATATCAACAAATAAATATTGAATGCTACTATTTGCGAGGATGTACTTCAGGCACCCGGGACTCAGCAAGAGCAAAACAGGCAGATGTAATAATGATGGATTTTGCATTCCCACCAGAAAAATGTGGGAGTGCCTCTCCTCCACAGCCTCATCAACAAAGTCTGTCCTCAAGCTTTTAGATTTTTGTCACACTGGTGGTGAGAAATGGTATGTCAATAATTTTGTGTTTCTATTACTGCAAACAAGCTTAGCACCTTTTCATATGCTTAAGGATCTTTGTATTTCTTCTGCCAAGTATCTGTTTATATCTTTTGCCCGTTGTTATTTCTTATTTTTTATACTTGTGCTTTCTCACCCACACCCTTTTATAGCTTTTAAAAAATTAAGTTAGTTAGTGGTTTTCTACTTTTTTTATTCAAAGATATAGGTTCTTTATTTATGTACTTATTTACTTATTATACTGCTTTTCCATTTTTTCAGTCATTAATTCTTATGCCTTTTAAAATTCTTCCTTATATATTTTTTGTTTGTTTTTTATCTTCATTGGTATTTTTTAGCCTTTCAATTTGCACACTTAATTCACTTATTTTAATTTTTATTAACATGTAGTTAAGGCTATGACTTTTCCTTGGAGCATTTCTGTAGTTGAGTACCGTATATCCTTATATAGCTAGCTTCAATGTCATCATTTTCCACAAGTTCTGCAATTTAATTTTGTATTCACCTCCTTTCATCCAGGAGTTGTTTAATGGAGGGCATGTCTGTTGTGAATTTCCAACCACAATAGCAACAGAGAGTTGGCAATTTTGTTGATATTACATGTGCCTATAAGAATTCTATTTGTATTTTTTCTATTTTTGAGTAATGCACTGAATTTTCCTTTGTGGCCTAATGCTAAATATTCTGTGTATAGCAGGTGTAGTTTTTATTGTTGGGTTAGCATAGTGGAGGGTTATACGTGGTCTGACAATTAAGTTTGTGAACTTGCTACCGTGTGCTTCCATTGGCAGCACTGTACAAACAGCTTGGTAAGGTTTCATAACCTTAGTATATCAGGGACTCACAGCTGTGTTCATGTCGACGTGTGGCGGTGTCTTGCTGAGTGGCGTTCATTATTGTTGTTCCGTGTTTTTGTGTGCCGTCGCGAGAATGTCTGAGCTCGAATTAGAACAACGAACAAACATTAAATTCCTTGTTAAACTTGACAAGAGTGGAAGTGAAATCAGGGACACGCTAGTCCATGTTTATGGAGATAATGCCGTGAAGAAAACGGCAGCGTACAAACAGATTCAATGTTTTTCTGAGGGGAGAGAACGTGTCACTGATGGAGAGAGGTCAGGGAGAGGGAAACTCAGGTGTGGCTCCTGGCTCAGTTCCTGGTGACACATGCCTTCTCCTGTCCCCTACACAGTCCCTGGTGGCCTTCTTCCAATTACTGGTAACCTTAAGTCAGCCTTCCTGTGTGGCCTTACAGGTGAACAGAGTCTTAACCTTCTAGAATTAGAGGTCATGGAAGACGGAGAATAGCTCTACCCACCTAATTCCTACTTGTCCTTCAAGGTATTACCAAAAAGCCTCTCCCAGTTGAAACCTTCCCTGACGCGTCTCTGCCAAGTGCAAAAGTGCTATGTCTGTTCTTTGACTCTATAACTCTTGGGATCTCATGCAGTATTTTCTCAGCAGGATGCTCTTCGAGGGTAGGGACCACATCCAGTTCATTGTCACAGCCTTGGGGCCTGTCACCCGCCACGCCAATAGTGATTGAGCAGGACACAGAGCCCAGGTGCATAGAAAGGTTTAATTGAGGCACTAGGATGGAGGGGGCAATGGACAGATGGAAGAGATAAAAGAGTTCTGAAAACCCCCAACCCAAGGAGAATCCAAAGGGATACATTGCTTTGTGTCTTCCTGCTCCTGAGAGTGTCTTCACAGCAAAGCAGGGAAGACAGGTGAGCTTAGGCTAGAAAGCGCTTTGCAGAAATGGTCTCACTGAGGAAGCTAAGAGAGGCACCGTGATGAGCTGATGTCCAGGGACGTGCTGGTTGGACTGGCCAAAGCAGGACAAGCCAGCCCTTCTCCCGCTGTCTTCTTCCAGTGCCGGGCCCTGGAGGCCAGGACACTCACGGCTCGTTGCTTGTGAAGTAGGAATACAGCTCCCGGGCTGTGAGGCTCCGCTTCCCTTCCGGCTGGGCTCCTTCCTGGCCCCGAGCTGAGGGCACCTCGAAGGGCAGGCAGCCCTGGTCCAACCTTGGGATCACTGTCTCCCTTGTGTGGTCGTCAACCCACTCCTGCCTAACCCCCGAGGACTCTGTCTCTCCCCGCCCCCCCGCCACACTGCACCGTGGCTGGGAGCTGCTCCCGTCCTGTCTGCCTGTCACAGGGCTTGCCCCAGACTGCGCCTGTCCCCCCAGCACTGTCTCTTCTGCCTCATGGCTGCTCACGTGGGTGCCTCTTTGCCCACTGCCTGACTGCCCCTGGGTCTGTGCCTGTTCCCTAGCCCCTGTGTGGCTGGGAGTCTGGCTCCC